TTCTTGTCTTGTCTTTGCAATCTGTGGCATTGTCCCATTTAAACAAAGTCGCATTTTAAGGTACGTAAAGGCCATCTTAACATGTTGCTTTATCTAAATGACTCAATGCCACAGATGACAAAGAAAGGACAAGAATGACAAACTGTGCAGGATGCTGGTATGTCAGCTAAAGCTGTAATGAGGCACCTGAATGTCCACAACTTCATTTTTAGTCTTCAGAAATTGTTTCAGACAACATGGCACAACACACAGTTGGCCAAATGTTGCTCTGATGGACCACAGAAGGTGTCAAATATCTTTTATAAACAGTACATAGGGTTGACATGTCCAACAACATGATCCTTCCTGCAAAAGGTCCATCAACTTTGTCAAGCCCTTCAGGCAGAGCAGGATAACATTCACAAGCCTGGACTGATAACCTCATGACCTCTATGTGTCACAGATGAGTGACTTGGTACTGACTTATGATTTCTGGTGTGTGACCCCACTCTCCATCTGCCCATTATCATTTCCAATTTAATGCAAACTTGGTTGTTTGTGTGTGTTAGAACAACAAATACTTATTTCCCTCTGTTAAAAAGAATGGATAGAATTTGAATAAAACATGACATGCTACATTTATATTTTGTTCAGTATAGTTAAATGAATTCTTCATATGATCATCAAGTTGTACACGTTTAGCTTTGCAATCTCATTATTGATTTCTTGTGGATTATTTACCAGAGAGAGGAGATCAACAAACTCACAGCTTAGGAAATCTTCAAATTTCCAGAAGTTTCCTCATCTGTTGCGTTAGAGTCAATTAAACAGCACAGCTCATATGCTTTCCCGTTCATGTTGTTATGCCTGTGTCCAGTTCTCACCTCTAATAAATAAAAAGTTCACAGAGATTCACTTTGATATTGTGAAGTTGCGACATGCCAAGATCCTTGCCAGAAAATAGGAAGCATTTTTGTTGGGACAAGTGTTTTTAGCAGTATTTTAACCTCAGCACCTTAAAGACACATAATCTCTCCATCAGAACAGAAGCTTCTATGGCCTCGGCCACGTGGACACAAATGGAAATGTTGGTCACTTGAGTCATCAAATGCGTCAGAACTCTTTTCTCCTCAACTGATTTGACTTGGAAGACATCCAGTGTTTTTGTTAAAAACAGCCGTACAATCTACATGACAATTTGAGCTATAAGAAACAATTTGCACATAGCAGAGTACTGAAGGTACTGTGATTTAAACTGGCACTAGTTGTCTGATAACTCTACTTGTTGTGTACATGTAGTATAGTAACATCACTATTCATAATACTTGCTTACACAAAAAATCGAATTGCACCCAAATAGCATTTGAACAGCCATCTCAGACATCTGATGTGTCCTAATAATTTAACCAGCTGTCAATTGCTTGTAATTCAGATTTTCTTTGTAGCAAAAGCACAAACTCTCCCTTTAAAAATCCCCCACAACTTTTGAAAAATATGTTGAAATGAGCACAATTACAGTTTGTAAAACATTTTAATAAACATTTCAAACTAATTTAAAAAATCAATTTAAAAAACTTTACAGTTTATTTATTGTTAAGAGCAAAATCTGTTTAAGTAGTTCTAAATCACACGTGTTTTCAAGCCTCAAACCTGCTTATATTGCAAATGTTCAATGAAGCCCCTATGTCCATTTATTTATTGCTGGCGAAAACAGACAATTTCAACATAATCAGCGGTCAAACCAACAAAGATTTAAGTGCTGCTGCTGCTGCATCATCAGTAGCTTGTGTTTTTGATCCTGATCCTTTGTGCCATCTTAATCTTGAAATCGCTGACACCTGAGAGAGAAAATCAGTTTGTTTTTTACCAAAGTGAAATGAAAGCAGATTAATGAAATGCTGTTAATGAGTCACAATGTAAAGTGTGTGTGTCCTCACCCTGACTGAGCGCAGTGCCGTCAGAGGAGAGGTGCCAGAATCTGCGATCGCTCTGTCTGGCCTGCTCTCCGTTCACCGCGCTTAAGAAAGGTCCCCACAGGCTGGACTCCAACTCAAACCTGCCACACAGCATCACAGATTCATCACAGTAGCCGATCATACAGAACTTATAAAAAAAGCTGAAATACAATATTATATGAACTCACGTGAAGCCGACATGATTCCCTTTGAGCAGTTCGAGGGCCTCCAGCAGGGAGCTGCCCTTGGGCACATCCACAGAGTAAAGCTCTGCTGCTCCGCTGAACGTCACCACTTCCACCACCACGGCCACTTTGTTCTCACTTGGCAAAACCACCACAGGATCTACGGGCTCCAGCATCAGGGTGTCTGAATAAAGGTACACAACATGACAAAAACAGTGACAATACAGACACAACCTGGAATCACAGCAACCAAAGAGAGTAGAAAAAAACGTTGCACATACTGTCCTCATTGAGACACTGCTTGCTTTTAACTGTCAGGTAGGATTTCTGAAGGAGAGCTGGCAGCGTCTGTGATATGGCCATAGGGTTGTGGTAGGTGTTGCTTCTGGCAGCTGTCCTCATAGCCTCCATTGAGGCAGCACACTCTGCAACCTCGCTGCCCATTGCCAATAAGGCCTTAAACACACCAAATGAGTACAGTTAAGCTACAAATATTTTGTTCTGTAAGATTTCATGTAGAAAAAGTGCAAAAAAAAAGAGAAAAAAATCCTTACTTGAACTGCAAGACCTGTGCTGAACTCATTGCCAATATGACCATCAGGTCTACTCGAGGCCAGAAGCTTCTGCTTGATCTTGGTCAGGGCTGTGTCGAGCTCGGCAGAGTTCTGCCCATGAGCACCGGAGTCCTTCACACACTGCAGAGCCATTCCAGCCATGGCGTAGGTATCTATGGAGAATCGTGGGATGAAATATTAACAATGGACGGATGTAGCCTGTTTCAAACCAGGGACTAAAAAGCTGTCAATGTTTTTAAGGCATCTCAATAACCGGATATTTACTAACACTTAGAAAACACGTGAGGATCAAGAACCGTGCTACATACCAGAAATACTGACCCATATGCGGCTGTTCACAGCCTTCAATCTTCGGGTGAGGCCACTGACTGTTCCAAAAAAAGCCTGTTTTACTTGTTTATTTAATTATTTTATTTACTTATTTGCAGCACAAGTTGCTGGTGTGAACAGAGCAAAGGCAAAGAACTAAGAGCCAAGTATCTGAAAATGTAGAACTTGCTGGTCCAGACTCGCTGGTCTGGGCTGAACCGCAAGCAGTGTTTACAAAGAGCAGATGGGAGACAAGTACGGAAACAAATTAAAACTCTACGCAGTACAACATCTATAATAGTTACAGCCACCATTTCTTCCCAGGATTAGTAACGCCTGTGGACACTTGTGAAAATGTACATAATGATTACTAGTTGTTAATTTTTTAAAATAAAAAGTCAAACAAATTCCACTTTTGTTTTTTCTTTCTCTTTTTTTTGCATTATCAGTTGCAAAAAAAACATTTTTGTGTTCTGTCTGCTTCTAGCCATGGTTGTGTTGTTTCCAAAGTGAATAACAACTATGACAGAAGCAAAACTGCTCAGAAACTCAGTGGAGGTCAGAAGGTTAATGGACAATTCATAAGCTGTTGTCTGAAAAATGACCCTAAACGTAATGCAATGCCACAGCAGTGACTCTGTTTTGTACTGTTTCCTTCTAACATAGACGGCAGTCGTCCACTGCTGTCCACAGTACAGAGCTCAGTTGTATTAGAAGTCCGGATGCTAGTGTCTCTGAGGCTCACACCAAAACTCAGGGAGTCTCTCTTTTATGTTCACTTATGCATCTTAAGTGTAAAACCTGAGAGAAATTACCTTAAATTAATGGTCAACAACAATAATGAGTAGTAGGTAGACTACATGCATCTATAGGTCAGTTTATTCATAAATATTGTCAATCAAAATTGACATGAATCCCTGCCTGCTCAATTTCTGCATGACATTTATTTATTTAACACGGCTAGAGACAACATTTATTTGTGTTTCACTCACCAACACTCTCAGTGTCTCCGTGTTTTAATTGTCCTTGTTCCGCTGCTTTGATGAGCTTGTTGCTGACATGGTTGCTGACCCTGATGTCGCTCACGCACAGAGCGAGCACACCCAGAGAGTACTGGTAGTAGCTGGTCAAAGGGCGCTGGCTGACTACGTGAAGGAGAGAAGAAGTGAAGAAAACCAAATTATATGAAAGCATGACTTCACAGTAATGTTCAAAGTCAAAGTTGCCATTTTTATTGCAGTTTGGATGGATTTAGCCAATACTTGCTGTAACTCTGTGGAATTCTTAAACCAACACATCAATTATGAAATGTTATCCTGTTTCATTTTGATTGAGCCAATTCAGCAAATTCGACTTACACTCTTATTTAATTTCTTTTTTTGATGAAGAAATATCCACACTAAGGCAACTTTAAAGTCACATTGTAGTACAATAAAAAAGAGGAATTTCAGCATTTCTTGTAACAACTGTTGGCCTCCAAAAGGTCAAAGGAGTCCTTACAGGCAATATGCTCCTTCTCTAGTTCCATCTGCTTTTTCAGGTGTGTCAGCAGCGTCTCAGTCTTCTCACTGACGGTGAAGGTGACTGTGTTCAGGTCATAGCAGGAGGACTTTAAAGCCAGAGTGTAAAGCGCCAGTTGGCCGACCACAGACCGACTGTTAGAGAGAGAGCTGAGAAACAGGTTCAGGTGAGAACATCAGTGGACATTCCTTTAGCTGCGCTAAAAATAAGCACTGAAGTATGTGAGTATTAGTAAGGAGTGCAATACCTTTGTAGGTCATTGTGCAAATTATTTTTCAGTCTGTTGAGGTGTTCGCTCTCCTTAGCGAGGTTGTGGTAGTTAGAGAGGCGTAATGCCAAGTGGACACTGGGATTAGGAAGTCCTTCCTGACTCTCCAAAGAGCGAAGGAGATTCTTGTTGAGTGACAGGAGCAGCTCACGGTTGGATCCTTGAGTATCTGGGATAAAATGTTGACAACATTTTGACATGAGAAAAAAAACAACAACTTCAAAATTCACTCTGTCGGGTTGCTGACATCAACATGAACATTTAAAGGATTGCAAAACCACAACAGCTGCATCAGCAGTAATGACAAAGACTATCCAGACGAATGTGCAGAATCGTCATTGTTGATGATCTTTTACTGTCAACATTACAATCAAAAAGGTAAAAGTAATTCACAATAAGTTTAGAAGATTATACAGATTCATGAAAAAAGCGATGTTGCAAAATCTGAGAATGTCCAGATTGATGAGTCAGTGGATTTGGAAACTGGGTTGCCTCAGAGTTCAGCCAGATTAAGTAAGAGCAGTCCGTTTATTTATTTATTTGTCTTTTTTTATATTTTATTATTTATTATCTATATATTTATTTGTTTTGAAAAGTTACTTACCACATGGTTTGCTGGAGACAAAAGCCAAAAGGCTTGTAATTACAAACAAAGGCAGCATTCTGGATGGTCTCCTGGTTAAACACACAGAAAACGAATCAACTCGCCTTAAACGTTTAGTACCAACACAGGTATAACAGAAACACGGAGAAATGCTGCTAGACTGATGTCAGACAATAAAAAAGTGAAATAAATGCAAGACCTTTCATAAAACGCTGTCGCAGCAGTTTTGCAATAAGAGCCGAAGCTTGTCAAAGTTCTCAGCAGCTTGTTACCTGCTCAGAGTTTCCTCCGTGAAGAATCAGAGCTGAGTGAGGAAACAAGCAGACTTCAGCTTCTCATACTTCAATGTCACATGACCGGTCAGCTGCGATGACAAAGCGATGAAAAGGCGACAAGGTCCCTTTAAACAGCAGCTGCGTGTCTGAACATAAACAGGAAGCTTCAGAGACTGAACTGGTCAACAACGTAAACTCTTTTCTAATGGACGAGGAGCGAAAATTGACATTTTAACGAGCTGCAGCTGATGTTAACTCATCAACAACTACTTTACTCGCTAACTTAGCTTCTGTAGCTAACCGAACAGAACACTTTTTGACAAGTCGTTTGTCCGTAGTAACTACATTTCCCAGAATTCAGCTAAGGTACTGAACGTAACACCTCCTGCGAGAGTCTTTTTAGGCAGGCGTTTGTCCACAGTAACTGCATTTCCCACAATTCATCTAAGTCGTTAAACGTAGCCTACGCACTTTCTGTTTTAAAAAAATCCAACAGACTGAACTGGAGTTAGTCGTGTTGTCGCGGTAACTACATTACCCACAATGCACCTGAGCTACTGAACGTAACCTACGCACATTCTAGAACCTTGACGAGCTTTCTGGCGCGACTCACCGTTTCAGAATAGCTGGCGACCGTCAGCTGAGCCCAGCCTACCTTCAGAGCGGCTCACACCACAGGGACAGATCGTCTGGGGGGCTATTTCTGCTCAACGGTTGTATCATAATGTTAAGTTAGTCAGACCCGAGACTGCAGACAGCCTGTTTTTGTGCGCCAATGGGAATATCGTACTGGAAAATTATGTGAACCGAGCGGAGGCAAGCTAGCAAAACATCGACATCAGCAACAAAAACAGCAAGGGGCAGTGTAGCTGCTCAGGTCGGGCTTTAACGCTGTGTGTTTCTGCCTAACTTGTGCAAAGTTGTTGTTCTGCGCAGGGATGAAGCTGTCATTGTGTGTTAACGTGTCACGGAGTAACGGACAGTTTTAACGTCATGCAAACAAGCTCGTGCAACTATGGCGTTGTAGCTAGCTAGAGAACAGACCCCGAGCAAACACATTTATAACTTGTGCGTCATGTAGGTTACAGACATTTTAGCTCATCTGACTGGTATCAATACCAATCCTCCAGATCAGATCCGTTTATAGTTACCTACCCGCGTGTCTCTTCAAACCATTTCATCGACTGGACCACCATGCATCACTCTGCCCCCTCAAGCAGTGAACTGAGCTTTCTGCCAGCCATGTACTCGTTTTCAGGCCCCACAAGCCTTCCTGAATTTGATCTGGGATCTCCTAGTACGTCTGGACACCTACAGAGAGCAACAGCCTCTAACAGGTATGTAGCTGATTATTAGAAGGATGTAAATTGCCTTGCATGCATTTATCAGAAATTTGAAATATCTTTTTAATCCAAGGCTGACATGTATTTTCTGTTTTGACACATTTGTCTCTTTCTCACAGCAGCTGGGAGACGCGATGCCTTAGAAAGCACAGGAGGAGAATAGATGATGAGTAAGTGTGAGATGAAAAAAAAACTTGGCAATGCCTAGAATAGCCACACAGAAGTGTTAAATTAAACTCCTGAGACGTGTTTATGCATTGCTGGGTTATATAAATATATCAATGTTCCATCAGGGGATGCAGTGCCAAAAAGAGGAGGTTAATGTTTGAGGCAGAAGTGGAAACTTCAGAGAACTCAAGCTCTGGCACTCATCGTGATTGGCCTACGGCAAACAGCTGCCCTCCTCTGTCTGCACAACAAAGCAGCCCTGCACTTCCACAGCCCTGCCCCGCTCCTGAGCCCTTGACATTGCCTCAGCCCCCCGCTGCCCTGACCCGACCTGAAACAGAGAGCTCCTGCATGGAGGTAGAGGCAGCTCAGAGGAAACTTCAGGAGATCGAAGACAGGTACACAATAATCAAGGTGTGAGAGAACTGTATGAGTGACTGTGAGATTAGACTTCAGACTGCTGATACCAGGAAAACACCTAGGCATCTTGGAATCTGTTGTTTGCAGGTATGAGGAAAAAATGCAGTGGTACTTGCTAGTAACACTACACATTTGTTTTTAGTAAGTTTCAAACTTCCATACATCTTGCCTTAATAGAAGTCACACAGAAGTGGCCACAGTCACTTTCTCGAGTGGCAAACACAAACATTCAGTATTTAAGAAAGAAAACATGTACAAGATACGACTAAAATGGTTAAGTGCTGTTGTGAAATGATGCAATATTGGATTTAGTAAGAATTCAGGTGTGAGATTTTATTAAAAAATAAAGAAAAGTGAAAACAAAGTGATACTGTATTTCATTTATCTAGAGCAGGTTTACTGGGAGTATTCCAACATAAGTTTGGTAAGCAGAGGGGAACACTTTCTGTTACATCATACTTCCATTAGGTAGATGATTTCTGCTTTAAATAGAACCATAGCCTCTTGTGTTAGGCTCATGAGAAACAATGTATGCACACTTTATTATCGTCTTGCAATATTGCTGTTTTGATAGAGCAATAAAAGCCATAAATGATTTATAAATGACTTTATTCAGATGTTGTTGGTCACTGCTTTAGGATCTAAATAATTGAGAGCAACTTAAAATGGATCAAAATCTGTAAAAAATCTAAAATATTCAGAATGATTTAAATAAAATTTTTAGGAAACTATTTGATTCATAATTTTGAATACTTTGGCAACTACATTTATTTAAATCACTAATCCCCGTGCATATACAGACTCTATCTTTCAGGTCCACAGGCTGTTCAGTAATCTAATTAACATTGTCAAGATATTTCCTGGTTTCCTTCCTTGTATTGCGACTCTTCCCCCATTTATATCAACCGAACAGGGTTTGTTTTGCCGTCCAGTGGTAGTGATGGGTTAGACGGGTTACATCATATGATATTGTGACATCAATACATCCTGTAACCTCTATTCCTTTAACTTTGCCATTGATCTATCCTAGAATAACATTGGAGGACGACGATGAGGATGAAGATCTGGATGTGGAGCCAGCGCAGAGACGGCCGGTGCTGGTGCTCTCTGACAGTTTGAAGGAGGGTCTACAGCGGGGCATCAGTGACATCCTCCCCCACACAGTAGCCCAGTCTGTGTATGTCCTGACTTTGTTATTGAAACATTTAAGGGTGAATGATGCAGCAAGTCACAACCTAAAGTAACTTATGTTCCACTGATGAGAAGCTCTAAAGTCTTGTTTTTTCCTTCTGGGGCCTGTTCTTGTCTCACCTGCTTCTTCCTCTTTACGTTTTTAGGAGCCATTCCTGCATGGAGTTGGTTCTGTGGAGGCCACCAGACGATCCCTTCTGTCGGAGGCTGAAGGGCTCGTTACAAAAACAGCGTAAACAACAGACGGTGTCTCGGCAACCTCCAACTCCGTGTCCGTCTCCCATCCCTCACAGTCCCCTCAGCCCCTCTAGTCCACCGGCAGACACACACTCTCCTCTGTACAGTTTTCCTTTGGCCCACAGCTCTGGAGAGGAGGACATGGAAATGTAAACGTTCTTATTCACAACAAAAGCCATGCCAAAGTAAAAGACTGGACAAGTAGTCACGAAAGACTAAAGGACTCATTTCAAGCTGTGGACAGTTTGGCAAGGGCAGCTGGCTCTGTATGAACATTGTGCTGTTTGCATTTTGTCATTCGGTTTGTTTTCTGATTTCAGTCCCAGGTACCTACACATGACATGTAATAACTGACCCAATTTAACGGTTGTATTAATGTAGATTTCAAGGTCTATAGACAGTCAGTCTTATATAACCTATTTTGTACAACTTCCAGGATTAACCTTTGCCCTTAGAAATGAGATCGTTTGTACATAATTTTGCCAAAGCCTGGTCGGCAGCACACTGATGCATTGTACATATGGCTGTGTTCTTTGTTAAACATCAGTGTGCAGCACATGGATTTCTATGTGCAGCTTCTGGGCATTATTAACAGAACACTAAAGTCGTTGTCATTCGCTCAAAGGGAGACTTCCTGCTTGCAGTCATGCTTGTGGTGGAAAGATTCTTTTCCTCTAGTGCTTAGCAAGTGTGCCATCTTTGAGCTTTGAGGAGTTTGTAAAGAAGTCATGGCAATGCATTTTTATGATATTCATATATACACGAGCAGAATTGCAACAAGCCATAGCGTGTGATTACTTTTTATTTGTTTTCTAATAAATGTACATTCTCCATGGAGATTTGGCAACGTTTCTTTTCATTGGATGAGATTTGGCTTGACTTTAGCACAAATTTACATTTACAGTTGGATAACAGAATGAAACAGTCCCCTGTTTGTCGGCAAAAATTACAGGTTTATTCATCAGTTCAGCTGAAGCCAACTGGACCAAAACTGATATTGATGACTGTTTGCTTTAATGGTGACGTCACTCTTAGACAAACACCCACTTGGTCTACAGGTACATTCTCTTTTGAAACATTGTGATACAAGAGGAAGAAATGGGAGCAC